ACCACCTGCGCTCCAGTTGATCATCGAGTTCCTCGAGCGGGCGCCAGTAACGTCTCCATTCGTCCCTGCAACGTGAAGTGTTCCCAAATGGACTCTCTCTGCTCGAGGGACACGATGAACTTCATACCATTCGTTCAGAGCTTTCACGAAGAAGTCTGACCATCGCATAGGCGGTCGTCCAGGCGTTCGCTTGACATCCCGTGGAATCCAGTCGTCACGTCATGCGCTCTGGTCCAGCGGTCGTCCTCGAAGCGCATGACGTGCCCGGCCCATCTGATGAAACTTTGGCGAATACGGCGGCGTCTCTGATCTTCGATCGTCGGCGGAGTGCGGAGCTCCGGACTTCCTCTCTCACTTGCGCGTCCCGCTTCACGCAAGTGAGGGAGGGAATCCGGGAAACTCCGAGCATCGCCCTTTTTGATGGCGCGTTGAATGACGCCATCGAAAGGGCGATGCTTATCCTGCTTTCGTAGAGCCCTCTGAGGCATAAGTCAAGGCTGGAAGAATCGCGGAGTCGAAGAGGCGGGCACGGAGCTTGGTGTTCTTCGTCTCTCCTACTCTCCTCGATGTTCTTGAAGGCTCCCCAAGCCGCTCGCTTCCTCCTGCTCAGCTCTGGTGCTAAGTCGTTCATCATATTGATTTCACGACCCAGGTACACATAGCTAGAGCATTCAGAGATGGTCGTTCCGTTGAGCGTGAATGGGGCATCAGATACCAATCCATTTCTCATGAACATCGTCTTCGTTAGATTGAGGCCGTAGAACCTGATTTTTCCACACCCTGCGCAGTCGAAACCAGCCAGCATTCGTTCCGCCTTGCTCGATGTTTGGCGTTATCAAAACGATGTCGTCAGCAAAGCGGAGATGGTGTAGTTGCCGACCGTCGATCTTCACTCCCATGTCTTCCCATTCCAGTTGACGCATGACGTTCTCGAGAGAGGCGCTGAAGAGCTTGGGCGAAATGGTGTCGCCCTGTCGGACGCCCCTCTCTTCACATCGGTGATGATCTCCTTGTAGAATGGTGAGATCTTGGTCGTGAAGTTGCTGTAGAGCTCACGAAGAATCCTGATGTACTGAGTAGGAATACCCTGGTTGCCCAGGGCTTCGATAACCGCTTCTGTCTCAACGGAGTCGAAGGCTTTTTTATTTTAAAATCGATTGGAGGCGTGAGACAATGACTGCATTGTACTCTCGCCGAAATACTTCGATGAGCTTCGTTACCGTGTGGATGTGATCGATCGTGCTGAATCCTCTTCGAAACCCTGCTTGCTCGCATAGGCTGTCCTTCGTCTAGTGTTCTGCCGAGCTTGTTCAGGATGACTCGTGTGAAAGTTTTTAGACTGCAGACAGCAGGCAGATTGGGCGATAATTGCCAATGTCGTACAGGTCTCCCTTCTTGTACAGCAACACAGTCTTGCTGGTTTTCCACGAGGTGGGTACCTTGCATTCCGACAGGTAGCGCGTGAAGAGTCGAGCCAGAGTTTTGACAAGAACTGGCGGAAGATTCTTCAGATGTTCGGGTCTGATCCTGTCGGGACCGGGTGCCGTACGATTCTTCACCGACGAGATGACGTGTCAGACTTCGGAGGAGAGAGCCGAAGGAACGTCGTATCCATCCAGCTCCAAGCGGTATGGTGGCAGGGGGACGTGGCTGTCAAAGAGATCCGAGTAGAAGTCGTGGATGACCTTCTCCATTGCCCTTCTGGATGCGGTGATTGTTCCATCCGGACGTCGGAGGGCGGTCATCTTGGTCTTGCAAATTGCGTGCATTGTTCGGATATTGTGGATGCCATCCCGCTCTCTGCGGCCTCCACCAGTACAGCTGCTCTTCTCTTCTTGAGGTTCTTTATCGCTTCTGTGCATAGCTTCGCAAGCTCAGACGTCAGGTAATTGCCTGCGGCTCGTACGGCTCCACGTTGGAGAATCAGCTCGAGAGTTACCAGAGATAGACGCCTCTTGGTAACAATGGAACTTTCTGACTTCTTGGCACAGTCGTGAAGGTGTACGACAAGCCATTCGTATTCCTCGCCGATATTGTCGATAACGGAATCCTCCCAGAGCCTAGCGAGAGAAGTGAAGTGATCCCAGTTGATGAAGGTCTTTGGGCTTCGCTTCTTGAACTTTGCGGCTCTCTCTCCTCGCATCGAAAAGCGGAATCTTGCGCGAAGGAGACGATGGTCGGATCCCGTGTAGAACTTAGGGACAACAGCGACATCGGTCAGGCAAAACCTTCGATTGAAGATGATGTGGTCGATCTCATTATGGAATTGTCCACCAGGAGACTCCCATGTCCAGCGTAGAGAGTAGGGCTTCCAGAACTGCGAGTTTCATTTATGGTATGGGTCGACATAATAAACTCAGACAGCCTTTCACCCTGCTCATTCCACTCCGTTCCGTGAGTTCCGATGTGAAGTTCTTCAGCCGTTCTTCTTGGTCCGATCTTAGCGTTGAAATCACCGACGATGACCTTGAAGAACTCCTTCCATATAGAACGCTTCGAGCTCATCCTCGTCGTAGCTTGATGTTGGTGCGTAGGCGACGAAGATTGTCAAAGTTGAACCACATCTTCTCAATCGCAACGTCCGATTCGGGTCGTCAGATTTTCGTACGAATCGATGTTCATGGCCAAGTGCGTGTTGACGAGGACGCCCACACCGCCAACGCCTCTGCTGTCGCATGTTCCGAGGAAAAGTTTTTCTCCGGTCTCGTAAACGGCGTGTAGTGGGCGATGCCCCTCGCTCGATCAGTCCGATGACGTCATACTTGATATTCCTGGCCTGCAAATCAGATCTTTGATGTGAGCTTCCGATGCAAGCGTCCGTGCGCTGAAAGTAACAAGATCGTCATCCTTAATAACTGGGGACCTTAAATTCTCCGTTGGCTGTAATTCTTGCGGCCGTCGCCGACGCGGCTCCAGGCCGACGCTTCCTGTCGGTGGTTCCCTCAGTTCAGGGAAAGGCCCATAATTATTACTGTTTTCGGCGTGAAGAAATTTGACCACGCGTAGCTCGCCAGGCTCTGACGTGGCACCCTCCGCATTGGTACGTTTTGGAACAGTCTAAACCGTTCACACCGACCCATGTTGAGGCTGCGGATAGAATTTGTGGGGAAGCTATAATATAAAACCTGAAAATTCATGAACGCGCTGAAAAGTAGGCATAGCCATCAGAGCGGGGCTTGCGGTAGTGTTTAGCGCGATCCGGTTATTGGATGCCTCTTCCAAAGTGTGTGTTGAGCTTGGCTTGAAAAAGGGACAATTTTGGCTGAAAAAAGTGATGACTTTGCGCTTGAAAACTGGGAATACAAAGCAGAAGAATGGTATGAATTTTGGCGGTAGAAGCTTGTCTTTTTTTGAATTTTCCGTGTCCGATGGGTAGTCGTAGCTGGCAGCAAAGCACTTTTCTTTTCAAGGCATGGCGTTCGTTGTTGAGAAGCTGGCAACTTACAATCGTATCAAATCGCGCTGCAGCGCGTAGGCATGGCAGTGATGAATTACACGAAGCCACGCGTCGAATGCTGTTGGAGAACAGGTAGTGATGCAGTTTATAGAGTTCAACTTATGTTGAGAAAAAAGTTGAAAATTTCAAAGCGGTTAACATCAAGCACATCCGCGCACAGCTGGAGCAACAGGCAGTTGTTCGACAGCGTCAGCGACGCGAGGAAAATGTAGATATCGATACACGCGAACGCAGCAGGCTTACTCAGTGGGCCTATAGCGTCGCATTGCAAGCGGACTAATGGTGGTCGTCGAGGGCTAGGGAATTAAGGGTGTCGATCTAGCGAGTAACAGCGTCCAGGAATGGAGAGTATTGTCGCGGTTCGCGGCAACGTGGCAGGGGTCCCGTGCGCCTGGTCTCTGGCGCGCTCCACGGGCAAAGCCGCGACGCGACCGCCGAAGGCCGCGCCGCCGCCCTGCCTCCAGAGCCTATATAAGGGCTGCCGCGGGTCAGTCGGTGTGCTTCTCATCTCCCTCGGTAAGCAGGGGATCACAGGGAGCCCAGCTTTGCCGCCGATATGCCGGACGGTTTGCAGGGTTGCGTGCTTGCACTTTGTACAGCAGTGTGGTCCGCACCCTGCTCCGTCTGGTGGAGCTGTCTCAGGCCCGTGCCTGCTATGACCCGAAGGCACGGCCGGCTGCGGGTTGCAGCTTGTAGCCGCAGAGCGCCATTACCGCTAGGATTACCGCTGGACAGATGGAAGATGGATGGTCAATCCAACCACGGCAGGATGTAAGGATTGTAGGAAGATGGTTACCGCAGACACGTAAGTCAATTAAATATGAAGTTTATTTATCTTGTAATGTTTGTGATAGGTGGGAGTTGGGCGCGACCGGGCAAGTGGGCCGAATAAGGTGCTGGGTAAAAGAGCTTGGGAGGTTTTGGCCGGGTAAAAGATGTTCTGGATAATCCAATCAGAACGCCGACACTACCTTTGAAGAGTATAGATATAGCCATGAATTACCGGTATTTGCTTTGATGATGTGTTGTGGTCATAACACATGTGAGCGTGACGTCGCTGAGCAACAACGAGGCAGCACCCACATAACTGTGAGGCATTCCTACTACTCTATTAGCCATGAAGAACCTTGGCGACCATACTCAAAGGTAAATCAAACTTGACAACCGAATGGCTTTACAGAAGTACTGCGGGAGCCATAATACTCCCAAGAACTCAAAGGCGCCACCCTTCCGCCTAAGACACACCACATTTTTTGGTGCATCGGCTAAAGCCGTTTAAGGTCAGAATATCTTCTGTCCTAGGGACTCAGTTAGCCCTAAAACCGTGAACGAAAGTTTGCGAAGACCAATCGCTCAACAGCAGCGTGGTGTTTGTTGGATTCTTTGAATCTCATAGGTAATCGCTCGGAAAGCATCTCGAAAGCAAAGCATTTAGCACAGATCTTCAAAAAAAAAGCTGGAAGGCAGCTAAGTACTTGCTTGTCTCAAGCGTCATTTTATAATATTTGCTCGGAAGAGACAAATCCGTTATTGATATAGAAGAATGTCACTATACTTCTACAAGAAATCTATTCTTGCTAGCGCCATAGCCCTATCTAGCCTTTTAAAGAAGTACGATTACTACGGAGAAAACCTAGAGTATCCAGAAAATGAAGAGGAGTTGCTCGAAAAGGCTATAGCAAACGTAACTCTTATAACATCGGCGCTGAATAGAGTAAGAACAGCTGTCGAATCTATTCAAGAAAAGGTTGACAAAATGGAAAGCCAGTACACCAGTGCGAAGAAGTCCGATCAAAAAGAGCTCATGTTAGAGGTTCAAGAGATAGAGAAAGAATCTCAATACCCACAACACTTAGCCAACGCTGAAAACTTCATTCACACTCTCGAAGCGCAAATAGACGAAGCAAAAATGAATTTAGCAAAGGCACAGAGAAAACTGAAACTGCCAAACTCTACCGAAAATATGCATATCGCTTATCATAAGAATGGCTCCCAAGGAGCTTCTGAAGGTCCTAACCAAGCATGCAGCACAAGATTGCGGTCAGTAAAACCGCCCACCATTAGCCTACCAAAATTTCATGGTAATGAGGAAGAATTCCCAGAGTACTGGGCTATCTATGAGTCGTTAATACATTCATGCGACGAGCTGAGTACTATTGAGAAGATTGTTCTCCTCAAGGATAGCTTGAGAGGAAGGGCGGAAAAGGCCATCAAAGGCATTCAGCCAATAGCAAAGAACTATGATTGGATCATAACGACACTCAGGGATAAATTTGGCAACCGGCCAATCAACAGATCGAGGACAGTACAGAACTATTTGATTTGCATGTTGCGTCCGACGAGGCGAGAAGTTGTGATGATTGCTTAGACTCGATTAAAACACTTGTGAATCAAATGGTGTCGACTGACTACGACATCAGGCTAACTAGTGACCCCATGTGGACTGAGACAATCATTAAAAAATTCCCGTACACAGTAGTGAAGGACGTCTTGGCACAGTACCAAGGCAATAAGAATATCACCATTGGGGATCTCATAGCGTTACTAGAAAAGGAAATATCTTCCAAACTCTTTGTGGAAACACACTGGGGACCTAAGAGTGAGAGCTCTGAAACGGAGAACCGTGCAGCACTTCGACTGTGTGTCTTTTGCGAAAGCGCAAACCATAATTCTACCGCATGTGATATGGTGGTAGACTGCCAGCTTCGTCGAGCAATACTGAAAACAAAGAGATCTTGTTGGAAGTGCTTCCGAAACGGCCATTCCAGCAGTACCTGCCAGGAAAACAACTGCAGCATTTGCGGAAGCGCACATCATCCTTCCCTATGCGTACTGAATGATAGATACGAAGCTACTCCCGGGAACTTAGAACCTCAGCATTCACAGAATCGCTTACCTAGAAATGTTACAAATTCTAGCGATTTCAACAACATCTCATCGCAGTGCCATTCTTCAGTGAACAGGCCACGCGGGAACTTCACTGACGATGTGGTACACAATAACTACAGTGAAAACCAATCGCTGATCACGTGTTCCAACGTCGACAGTGCCGAATTAACGCGAAATGAGCAGATTGTACTTATGACCGCAGAAGGAAATGTGTATAAGCATCGGTCTAAACGGTACGAGAAGGTACTTTTCTTCTTCGACACTGGGGCTCAGAAGACTGTGATACAAGAAGGATTAGCTGTTCGACTTGGTCTTCCGAAAATATCGACCGAGACCTGCACTATGTCTGGGATTGGAGGACACAGCGAAACATTTGACAGTCACCTGGTACCTCTCAAAAGTTAGTACCGCTCAAGGTAGAGAAATCAGTGTATTGGTCCAAACAAAGCCAATCATATCGGAAGGGTTCCGTTCTGCTTTGGTCACAAATGCGATCAAGAGTTCCTCGAAAGAGAGGAACTTTTCTTAGCCAACTCCAATCTTCGTGGCGAGAGACAAGTACCACATATTCTAGTGGGTCTCGATCGATACTACGATTTGGTCACAACGAATATGGCCATTATGTACTCCATCTGGTCTACATATTGCAAAAACAGTATTTGGTCCTACCCTTTATGGCCGCGGCGTCTTACTACCAACAGATACCGACATGGCAAAAGAGAGCAGATAATCCAGCTGTATCTTACACTATGACGATGATATACGAGAACATGCAGCCACAAATTAAGGGATGCCTGTCAAAGGACTCAAACGTTGACCAAGTGAGGGAAAGAAAAGACAATACGATCAATGGTATTGAAGGCAGCTCTAATATCAGATACATTGCCCAAGGTCATATCGGGTCACCACTCTCACCTGAGAGCAGTAGCAGCGTAATCACCCCCGAAAATCAAAGGGTCACGATCCGAGCTCATCAGCAATTTCTCGTTGACGTGGAGCAATCAAGGAAAGTCAATCCGCGAAACTACCAGTTTCCAGAGAAGTTCAATAGAACAAGAGAAAGTCATCTTGAAACTAAGGAGCACTTTGATTATAAAAGTGCGGGTAATTGCAAGTTGAAAAGAAGAGAACTGCATTATTCGGTATGGGTACAGTGCCAAGCAAAACCACCATAAATTAAAAATTAAAATTAAATTAAATCTGCGTGCAGTAAAAATGTACATCACCCGCTAAGGCCTAGCTTGTAATTGTATATTCCACTATTCTCTCGTTCCAGCACTTCTTCACCCCAAACTTCCGCAGCGCACAACAGGACCACCTAACTCTTCACTACAATCATCCAGCTGTCACCAACCAATAAACGCACGCGAATGGCGATTATGAACTTCCACAAAATTGTGTGAGCGTACTGCTATAATTCATAATATTCTCTCATTACCAATGCTTATCATAGGTTTGAAATCAATATTTGTTGCTCTGATTTTCTGCCGTGCCCGCGGAGTGTTCTGGTAATCCACCAGAACCCGCACTTCCTTTGAAGTAGTATAGATAGCCATTGGAATTACCGGTACACTTTGATGATTGTTGTTGCATAACAGATGTTGAGCGTGACCTCGCTGACATAAAGAGGCACGCCCAGATATGTGAGCATTCGACTACTACTATTCTACCACTGAACACCTTTGCTAAGGTGAATAAATCTTGTAAGCCCAGAATAGCTTACACAGAAGTACTCTGCGGGAGCCACAATACTCCCAAAGAATCAACAGGCGCCACCCTTCCATGCCGTTAGACCGGTTACGGCAGGCTGTAACAGTGGTAGGGGCCGGCCGACCCGGGGGTCCAGGACGGACATGGGGAGGTCGGACCCACCACGGGGACATGCCTGTTCATGGGCTGCCGTCCCCTGCAGCCTGTCACGGGCTTAGGCCCGGGTGGTCCCTCGGGGAACCGAGACTATATCGTGCGGGAAAGCGATATGGTCCCCGGGGAACTGTGAGACTGAGGTGGGCTGATGGTGTGTAAGCGGGACCCTCGATACACCGATGCTCGTCGTGGGAGAGGACTAGTAGGGCGGTCTCTCTGAACTGCGACAAGTATGGAGCAATGGAAGGTAGCAGACAGCTGGAAGAGTACAGGGAGATAGGAGTGTGCTAGCCGCACCACCCCATACCCTCCACTCCTGGGCGCTGCTGGTCGCTGCTGGCCGCTGGTTGACGCTGGTAGACGCTGGCAGAGGTTTGCAGACGCTAAATCGATATCTATCCTTCCTAATCGTGACGCTGCCGGACACTCGTTAGTGGTCGCTGATGGACGCTGATAGACGCTGGTGGACGCTGCCGCAAAGAATGAACGCAGCCTAAGTGACTTAGTCGACGTAACCCACGTCATCGAGTTTTCGACGTGAAGCGATACGTATCTAATCTTCTGTCGCCGTTTTTTTCGATTACGTCGACGTCGGCGAGAGTATGAACGCAGCCAGAGCTCTTGTAGATAATGTGAAGACGACAATATGAATACTTTTCAAAGCATACTCGGAATGGTTTTAATTCAAATTCGTTATATTTAGCCGACACTTTTTAGCTACAAACTTTGCGAAGCAAATGGGATTCAAAGAAGAAGATCTTACGACGGACGTTTCTCGACAGATGATCACAAAATGGAGAGCTGACAGATGTCAACCGAATTTCTGGCAGGTACGTTTCTAATATTTTCTTATTTATTCATTTTCTAACGGTCTCCGTGACAACGATTTATTAGCTCGCAAATTCCACCGCTCGTAAATTTCATACCTACTTCAATTAAGCTGTCCGATCATTA